GGAGAGATTGAATAAAAAAATCAGAAAGAAAACTCTCCAAATTCTAGGCTGGGAACAAACAGGATTCCATCCCTAAAACCCCATCTCCAAACTCTTCTTTTTGATGATGTAGAAAAGCCTCTCCCACAATTCCTCTTTCTTGAAGCTCTAAAATTTCATCTGGACCACAAAAACTTCGTGGTCTTTTCTGCTTGGAAAATAGCTAGAGAATAAAACCGAAGACTTTATGGGGTTTCATACAATTGTAGTCTCATTGTTTTTACTTGTAAAGAATAATATTGAGCAGCTGTGATGATGCCCCAAATTTCCATTTTACTCATGAAGCCCACCGCAGAAGCCATTCCAGTTAAAGAAACTCATCAAGCAGCATAACAATAAATTGAAATTAGTAATGAGCACAATAAATGCAAACTAACAAAAAGATTGAATGAATAGCTACCTCTTTGAACGCTTGTGTCTAGTAGTCACTCTCAGTCCATACATTTTACTATCTTCACCTCCTTCAAAACTGAGAGAAAACACACCCCAAACAACAGTAACTTCAGTAAAAGAAACATCATTTCCCACAAACAAAGAAAGAAAAAAGAAACATGAAAACAAAGGTAAAGACAGTTACCATTAAACTTCAAGAACCGAACAAGCAAGTACCCAGGATGAGATCTTTAAACAAATGATGAATCAGAGAAACCAGAGCCACCAGTCCAAATAAGTTCACACTTCACAGACTACTGAGGTCTAATTAGACTACAAAAACAGAACTTGTCTTCATGTAATGTAGCTGACCAGAGGTTCCAGGAAGTACCCACAAAGTGATCATTAGCAGCTGTCGCAGTGCCTGAACATAGGGAGCCCGAAATAGTTCACAAAGATAAGACCTTTGTGCTTTTGACCACTGAACCTTCACCTTTGAGAGGGTAAAAGAAAAGTTGTGCTTGTTGAAGTAAGAGAGGTGTGTCTTTTTGAAGAGATGGAGTTGTGTTCTTTCATAAGGATGGTTTTTTTATAAAAAAAATAAAAACTAACATTAAAATTGTTTATATATATACATATGCATAGAGACAAATACAATTCTGCGAGATTTTAATTATTTAAAAAAAAGTTCTAGTTTTTCTAAAATTCTTATTTTACTTTTTTTTCAAAACTTTTTTCTCCCTTTTTTTTTATAAAGATTGAGTACAAATTTTTTATTCATAATTCATTTTTATTTGTGCCATGAAGAATAGAAAATTAGTAAACTTGAAAAACAGCTGTTTTTGCTAGAAAATTAATAATTACTTCAATCTACATCTTTAATTTATATTTAAATTTTATGTTTCTGTAGAGGAGAAGTAGAACCAACAATTCTAAAATAATTTAAGAGGGTATTATTTTTTAAAATGTTTTTCTAAATATATTAAATTAATATTTTTATTTAAAAAATTATTTATAATATGAACATCAAAACAATCACAAGAAATAAAAATAAAATTTAATAAAGACAAAGTTGCATAAAGTGTTACAACATCACTTTAGTCTATAAATCAGTTTACTTTTACAAATTAAGAGTCTTTTTGCATCAAAAGATGTAAACCAGCTCGTGTCGATGCTATAGTAAAGAGTAGACCCATGCACCTTAAAATGTCAAAGGTGTCGAAAAGGGAACGATATTCTTTCATAGAGAAAGAGAGATCCTAAGAGAGAGAGCAGGGGAAGATAAATAGTGGCTATGACTGTTAAGTGAGAAAGGTCAACAAAGTCCAGTTCCCACATTCTCTTCTCTTGGTGGTTAGCAAGTGGGAGTGGGTGGCCGTCCCTCCAATCTTGTCCTATACTGTTTATCTACACACAGTATCCTATACTATAATGTATGTATTGGGTTTGTAAATACCTAGCTAGCATGCTTTCTTTTGAACGGATATGTACGTTTTTTTTCCTTGTTTTAATTGAAGTATATATCCTTTATCAGTTTTCACGAGGCAACGTTACATCCCTTAAACGCAGAACACTGAAAATTGTGCATTTATTTGCTGTTTCTGTCTTCCAGGCTTATTTGGATTTTGAAGAACAAGAATAGGCAGGAGAATGCTCCAATGGTGCTGTCTTCCCCAGAACAATGAGGTGTCTAAATACAAGGAAACTAACATCCAAGAAGTGACATGGGCTTTGTCGAACTAGCAATGTCAAGAAACTTTGAACCATATAGGTAGATGGCAATTATGTTCATGTAATGAAATACGATGTTCAGGGTTATCTAACAGCTAATCGATCTTGTTTACTTGTGTAATAATTGGGGTTTGCCAAATCACAGAATCGATGGACCAGCTTACCAAATTTTCACTTTACAAGATAAGATGTTTTGTTCTTTTTCTTGACATAGAGTTTCTAAAGTCAAAAAGCTTCAATTTCTTGCAACACAATGTTAACCTTGATTTGATCTCTGCACTTAGTTTTCTCGTTCTCTTGACAAGGACCTCCCCTTTTTTTTTATTGCACTTGTGTGTTAATAGTAATGCCAGGTTCTTCACGGAACCCATGCCTTCCAGGTATCAGATGAAAAACCAAGAGGTTATTTTGCTCTTCTATCTACCAATTTGTTATTTTTGTGCTCAAGAAACATAAATCTATGGAGAAGAAATATCCCAAAACAACACGAAAGTTGCTCAAGTGAGTCCATCCAAATATAACAGCTATATTGAGCACCAATCAAGAAAGGGGTTAAGTCCAAATGTAAGTTGCTAAAAGGGTTTTAGCCTACAAGCAACAAAAGCAGGCTCGCCTCAAAAGGGATGAAAGGTGAGGGATAAAGGAGACATTGGATGCTTGAAAGTAATTGAGGTTTTGTGGGGTTTTCTCTTTGTCTTAAATATCTTTTTGTAGAAATGAGGCTAAGGCAGATACCTCATATTGTCCTTCAGTATCCAAGAGACTCGTTTTTGTCACAGAATCCTCTAGTAAAATATGGTAATGGGGCTTGACCTTTTCCAATATCGATACAAAAGAAAAGGTGACCTGAGTGTGTGTAGTAAGGTGGTCAGGCCACTCTTTTTTGTCGTGATACTCACCTACTGACAGAAAAAAAAGTTTATTTTCTCACTGCAGCTAGGAAAAGAAAGAGGGAGTGGACAGAGGCAGAGAAGGAGAGGTTTTCCTCGAAAACTTTCTACAAACATTTTTTTTTAATTGGAAACTTTTCTCTTGAGATTGTAGAAAATCCAATAGCTTAATTTAATCTATGGATTTATAGCCATAGAGTCTAAAGCATTGCCTAGAACACTAAAAATCTGAGTCATTGTCACATAGGACATGACTCGGAAACTACTTACCATTATCACCAACCTAAATTCTCAATGTAAAAATAAATTTTCCTAGTCTCACTAACTATATATATATAAACCTATCTTGAAAATACTCTAATTTTGAGTAAAAGACAAAACTGTCACCCTGCTCCTTCCTCCAGCCTTGCAAGAAAAGGTACTACTTTCCACAAAGCAAGTAATGTAGTGCATGAGTTGTTGGATTTAATCTTCAGAATTGTAGACGACAAGATTACTTGAAGGACAAATATAACCTTAGATTTAATCAATACAGCAGAAGAATCCATGGTTTTAATATCATGCTTGCTTGGTGGTGATTCTTCTCTTGGGGATCAAGCTCAAGTCAGGATTATTTTGGACACATGTGTTAGTTTAAGCTCTCCTCTGTGTCGGAAGAAGTTAAAATTTTCCAGTTCCAATAAATAAATAAATGAAACTTCTATTTTATCTTATTGTGATTATCTTAAACAAGTCAGATTGGATTCTTTCTCAAGGACAAAAATTCAAGCACATCAAGAAAATATATATATATTTGTTCAAATTTTGAGCAGAGTATGAGTTTTTTAAGGAATCTGACAGACATACTTCATAGATTTATGAAATTATTAGTTGCATTAATTATGTTCTTTAATTGTGAATCGCAAAAAACAACATCCCCTATTGTAATTAATGATCTAACACAGAGTTCCATGGTGCTCAGATTTTTCTTGAAAATTTGACTGTTTATAAGCACAAGATTAGGCTAGATACCCATGTGTCTCCATGATTTTTAGATCAAGAAAATATCGTTTTTTTTTTTAATGTCCACTCACTCTTCCTTGAAGCCTGGTAAAAAAACACCAAATGGCTGGTTAAACAATGCTAAGATCCCATAGGGTTCTGACATGTTTGTGATCTCTAGTGAAAAAATGAACTTGATTTTCAATTCAAGGCAGCAAATTCAGTTATGTTTTAAAAAAAAAGAAGGCTCAGTAGGCAACAAAATTGAAGCTGGTTCCAATTTCCTACAATTCTCAGTAATCGTGCACAATGTTCAATTGAAATTATCATAGAAGACAATCTAGAAGTTTGTATAATAAACTGTATGAAGTTCAAAGAAGCTTGCAAAGTTCCAAAACAATGGATTTGAAGTGTAACATGATTCTATGTTCTTGACTTCTTGTGGCATTCTACTCTGTTTTTTTCGTTTCTTTAAAGCACAAAGATTTGCTTAGCAATAAACCGTAAGTGCATAAGATCTTCATTAACAATCATGTTCTTTCAAAACTTGGAGTCCAACCATGGAGTTTGTGTAAACATTATTCAGAGTGTGAGGTGCTACTCAACAACCTGATGAATTTGAAAGTTACGGCATGTCTTGTTCATGCCTAAGAACAGCACTGTGTGCCTAAGAACACAAATTGTATTCTATGTTTAATTTGAAGTTTGAAGTTCAAATAGGAACATAGTCATTTCAATTCAACATTGCAGCACGAACTAACCAGGAACCCCAGCCTTTAACATCTTGGTTTGTCACAGAGGTGAAGGACCACAATTATTACAATCAATAGAGACATGCATACGTTGGCAGGGATGCAAAGGTGTGGTGCAGAAATGACAAACATGGTTCCAAACCAAAAATGTGTACCAGAACCAATGCTTCTTGATCTGAGACACCGATAAACACATACATCTATATATCACGAGTGAAAAGGGACTAACAAGGCAGTGCCTCGAATTCACAAACCCTACAAGATCCACAAAAATATGAGAGTAATGGACTGGATGCGTGTGGCAGTGACCATAGCTGTGGGGAAATTGGAGAGGGTTGCATTCGTTTCGGGCTATAGAGAAGGTGTAGAATCCCACAATTGGGACAGCAAAAGCGAACTTTCCAAAGACATTTGGACAACGAGTCAATGCCAATCATAAAATGCAGAAGGCATCTATCTCTCTTCTTCCTCCTGTTCTGTCCCCACACCAGTACCACTTCAAGGAGGTCTCTATTTTACACCAAATCCCTTGCAAGTTGCAGCCCTTTTCTTAGTCCTAATTGCCTTGCCAAAGACTTTCAGGTAAATCTATATATCTAGCCTATATATGGCTTGTAAGCATGATCCACTTTGTTTTTTTCCCCTTCTCGTAGCAGCACCTGCGATGCCAGAAACCCAGTTTGAATTAGATAGTTAGTAAACCAGCTCCATGACCATGATATTGTCTCCTACAGCTCTGTCTGGTGTTTCTGTTGTTAATTGTTAAGATTAGTGACTTAATTTCCATTCAATCGAACTCCAACATGGTAGATCAGTTCCTAATCCACACAGGCTGATCATGAGCCCTTTAGCAAGGCACTGAATTACTCGAGTACACTATATAACAATAACAATAACAAAATATAATAAAACGGATGGGTGAAGTCCATAGTGAAAAACATCGTGCGCATATTTACAGTGCACTCTGGTATACTGCAGAGTTTTTTTTTTCAATTTTTTGATATTGTATAATTAACACTTTGCCCATTCAAAAAAAAAAAAACAATTAACTTGCCACAAGTGTAATCCCGTCTATTAATAAAATGATGATAATACCTGCAAAAAAAAATATTATCATGGTTATTTTACTTTTTCACTTTTTTTCTTGCTGGAAGATAATTTAATTTTTTAATAAATATAAAATATTTATTAAAAAAATAGCTAACATGCA